AGAGCAAGCATTCTTTTGATTCCCACAGTTCCAGTCTGTTCTGCAGGCTCAGCAATAGCCTGTCACAGGGCCTTCATATATGCTGTTCCCACTGCTTTCACTTCCAGAACTCCCCTTCCCTTACTACAAATATATCTTGACAGTAAGAGCATCTATTCGAGTGGTGTGTGTGTGTGTGTGTAAAATAGCTTATTCTCACAATATCCTTAATAAGTGTTAATAGGGTTTACTAGGATACTTATGGATAAAAATCTAAGTGTCAGAGATGTGAACTAGCTTGGTCAAGGTCAAAGTGGTAGTAAACTCCCCGACTATCCAGTAAGTTTCATGGGAACAGAGACGGCATAGGCTTTACTCATCTGCCTAGTGTTTATTTAACAAATATTTATTGAACATTTAGTAGGAACCATGTTAAACACTGTTCTAGTTTCTTGTTCTCACAAAGTTTATGTGCCAGGGAAAAGACAGACACTAAACAGGGAAGCAGGTACAGGTTGAATATCCCTTATTTATCCAAAGTGCTTAGGAGCAGAACTGAGAGTGTAGCCACTGGCAGAGTGCTTGCCTAGCATGTGTGAGGTCCTGGTTTTGATCCCTAGTACTATATGAAAAAAAAAAAAAGAAGAAGGAGGAGGAGGAGTAGGAGGAGGAAGAGAAGGAGGGGAGGGGAAAAATTAATGGGATAGAAATTGTTTTGGAGGGCTGGGGATGTGGCTCAAGCGGTAGCGCGTTCGCCTGGTATGCGTGAGGCCTGGGTTCGGATCCTCAGCACCACATACAAACAAAGCTGTTGTGTCTGCAGAAAACTAAAAAAATAAATATTAAAAAAAAGTGTTTTGGATTCGGTTTTTTTTTTCAGATTTTGGAATATTTATGTATACCTAATGAGCTATTTTAGGGATAGAACCCAAGTCTTTTATTTGCATTGCATTGCATCACACCCAGGGCCTCACATATGCTAGGCAAGTGGCTCTATCACTGAGCTATATTCCCCAATCCTTTGTTTTTATTTTGAGGCAGGGTCTCCCTAAGTTGCCCAGGCTGACCTCAAACTTGGGATCCTCCTTCCTCAGCCTCAATAGGTAGCTGAGACTACTGGTATACGCCACCTTTCCCAGCTGAAGATAATTTTTTTAAAAAAGATTTTAAGATGTTGATGGAGCCAGGTGCCATGGTACATACCTGTAATCCCAGAGGCTTGGGAGGCTGAGACAGTAGAATCATGAGTTCAAAGCCAGCCTCAGCAAAAGTGAGGTACTAAGCAACTCAGTGAGACCCTGTCTCTAAATAAAATACAAAATAAGGCTGGGAATGTGGCTCAGTGGTTGAGTGCTCCTGAATTCAACCCCTGATATAAAAAAAGATATTAATGGAACTTTATTTTATTCATTTATTTATATGTGGTGCTGAGAATTGAACCCAGTGCCGCACACATGCTAGGCAAGGGCTCTACCACTGAGCCACAACCCCAACCCCTGAAGATAATTAAGATAATTGTATGCCTGCCTTCTGACTCTGACCTGTCACATGAGGTTGGGTGGACCACTTGTGGGTCATATAGGTACTTAAAAAGTTTCCAATTTTGGAATATTTTGGACTTCAGATTTTTGGGTTAAGGATGCTCAACTTTTTTTTTCAAGGATTGAACCCAAGGCACTTAACCACTGAGCCACTTCCCTAGTCTTTTTTATATTTTATTTTGAGACAGGGTCTCACTAAGTTGCTTAGATCTTCCCTAAATTGCTGAGGATGACTTTGAGCTTTCAATCCTCCTGCCTCAGCCTCCCTGAGTCACTGAGATTACAGGTGTGCTCCACCAGGCCAGATAATATTCAACTTTATAAGAACATAATTTCAGTTAGTAGTAAAAGCCTCCAAGACAGGATGACAGGATGGTGAGATAATGATTAAAAGTGCTAGCAGACCACTTAAGGCCAATGGATGGTCTTCAAATGGGAGGGGTATCTAAATATAGAAGGAGCACTGCATTAATTTTTTTTATTTGGGGGGAGGGGAGAATTTAACACAGGGATCCTTTTTTTTTTTTTTTAAGAGAGTGAGAGAGGAGAGAGAGAGAGAGAATTTTTAATATTTATTTTTTAGTTCTCGGCGGACACAACATCTTTGTTTGTATGTGGTGCTGAGGATCGAACCCGGGCCGCACGCATGCCAGGCGAGCGCGCTACCGCTTGAGCCACATCCCCAGCCCACACAGGGATCCTTTTTCACTGAGCTACATCTCCAGACTTTTTTATTTTTTATTTTGAGATGTTGATGGAGGCAGGTGCCATGGTACATACCTGTAATCTCAGAGGCTTGGGAGGTTGAGACAGTAGAATCATGAGTTCAAAGCCAGCCTCAAATTGCTAAATTGCTTAGACGTAGGCTGGCCAGGGATTTGTGATCCTCCTGCCTTGACCTCTCCTACTACTAGGATTAAAAGCATGAGTCACCAGCATGAGCATAGTTTCTTGGTTTAATATACTTCCTACTGGGATTCCGTGAGGGGGATTAGCACATGCCTGTAATCCCAGGCAGGAGGAGCACAAATTCAAAGCCAGTCTCAGCAATAGCTAGGCAGTAAGCAACTCAGTGAGACCCTGTCTCTAAATAAAATATAAAATAGGGCCGAGGATGTGGCTCAGTGGTCAAGTGCCCCTGAGTTCAATTCCTGGTACCAATAAATGAATAAAATGAAAAAATAAAAAACAGGCTGGGGATGTGGCTCAGTGACTGAGCATATAGGGTCCTTGCTTAGCATCTGGATGGCCATCTTAAATGACAACCACCATTTTAAGGAAAAAGTTTCGCTTTCCCTACCCAAGCCCTTTCTGGGAAAGGCTCATCCTCATACCACCCCAACCCCTAACTGCCTGCATTAGGACCCGCTCAGCTCTGATTCTTGAGCATCCCCTATAAAAGTCCCAGAACCTGAGCCTATTTTGCCTCTCTCTCCTATAGAGAAATGACCTTTATTTGTCAGCTCTGACAAATAAACTCTCGTGGGTCTCCGTCTTTCATTTCTGGCTTACCCATGGCTCCTTTCTTGATTTCCCTTCAGAGCACCCCTGAGTTCAATCCCTGGTACTAAAACAAAACAAAACTTAAAAAAAAAAATAGAATATGAACTCCATGGAAGGGTAAGGTCATAAATTGATGTCAGCCTCAGCAGTTTAGTGAGCTCAGTGGTAAAGTGCCACACTGGGTTCATTCCCCAGTATTGGGGATGGGAGAAAGAAAGGAAGAAAAGATTGTAAACTCCATGAGGGACTTCCTCTGTCTTGTTCACTATGGCACCCCTCACATTGGCATACAAAGCGGCCTGCGCCTTTCCGGCTCAGTAGCCTGTAATAAATAAGCCATTTATTACACTGAATGAATGAGTATATAATATGTATATTTCTTCATTCATTTACTTAAGTGATTTTCAAGGGGAATATCTGTGTGCCTTTTGATAATATCTGGTTTTGGTTGTCAGGAAGATGGGAAGGCGGTTCCTGGCATTTATAAAGAAAGGGATCTGGGGGCAGTGGTTATGGCCCAGTGGTAGAGCACTAGCGCATTTGAGGCACTGGGTTCGATCCTCAGCATCACGTGAAAATAAATAAAAATAAATGCATTGCGTTCATCTACAATAAAAAAAATTAAAAAGGGTGGGTGGGGGGCGGAATCTGGAGACCGTCCCATGTAACATAGTCCCATAAGGTAACATGACTTTCAAATGACCTGCTACTTCACTAGACCAAAAAATCACTTTATAATTACCCAAGCCTATGCATTAATCTTTTTTTTTTTTAAAGAGAGAGTGAGAGAGGAGAGAGAGAAAATTTTTAATATTTATTTTTTAGTTCTTGGCGGACACAACATCCTTGTTGGTATGTGGTGCTGAGGATCGAACCTGGGCCGCACGCATGCCAGGCGAGCGCGCTACCGCTTGAGCCACATCCCCAGCTCCCTATGCCTTAATCTTTTACAGAGAAACAAAAAGTATTTTTTGAGTCCTTAAGTACAAACGATCTCCATGAATGCCACTGGCGTGTAAACAGGAGGGATAATTCTGCTTTGTTTTATCCAAGCCTTACCAAAATTTGCTTATTTTATCAAAAAACTCATCCTATAAAAAAAATTACAGCATTTCTAGCGCCCTCTACCATGCTACCTCAAGGTCATGGTATTCTGAATACTTCAGTATATCTGCTTGTATACTTGGGCCCGAACATTTACATATTGAGCCCTCTTATTTCATTGAAATTTATTTCATGTCCCTTTATGTTACAATTATGCATTCCATGGATGTTTTAAACAAGCGTTTGGGTGGGGTAGGTCACCTTTGGGTCCTATTCCCGGATGACGGCGGGAGGGGCATTTTAATCTCTTCATTCGGGAAAGAGGCCCTGGGGTCTTCCGAAGACGCCAGCAGTGCGGTCCTCCTCGCGCCAGGGGTCGCTGTGGCGCTGCGCGGCCCCGCCAGG